TGGATGGGGCTTTGGGCAGCCTGGTCTAGTGGAGGGTGTCCCTGCCCATGGCAGGGGGGTTGGAACTAGATGGTCTTTAAGATCGCTTCCAACCCATACCGTTCTATGATTCTGTGTTATTTTTATTTCTTTCAGTGAAATGTCAACAATTTTTTTAGGGAAAATTTAGAGTTTTGTTCTGTTTTCTACGGTGTGTAATGACAGAGGGAGCCAGGTGAGATTTAGTGGAAAAGTTCAAAGTGATGGTTAAGCTTGCAAAAATGGTGTGATTCATTTGGCATAGTAAACCATTTCATTGTAATGTTCCATCAAAGGTGTATAAGTAGCTTGAATAAAGCTTCACATGAGGTTTTTCACTGTATATGAGGCAGCTGCTCCCTAGTGGGCTCTTTATTACTGTCAGAAGATGAAAAAACACTGGCAGAAGCAGCAGAGCTTGTTTGCCAAATACTGTAATTGTGAATGTGTGTTTTTTAATAACGAATTGTTCATAGTGATGCACATACTTTCTTGTCAGATGTTAATGTTATGAATACTAGATCCAAAATTACACTATGTACTGAAATAATAGAATAGCAGTTCCCAGACTACTTGGTTGCTTTCAAGCAAGCTTTATCACCTAAGCCCACCTCTTAAGAGGCCTACCACATAAGGCTACACAGACCTAATTATACTCCTCTTGGTTCCTGAAGTCAATTCCTGCCACCTCTTTCTTCTAAGACTTGTCCCTGCCCTTCATACTGTGCTTTGGAAAACACCATTTTACATGGAGTTCAGCATACAGTCACTGTATGACAGCCTGTGGCTCTGCTTGCTTCATGAGTCGGTTCTGAAAACGCTGATTACCCATTGAAAACATGAAAACAGTTACTGTATTTGCTTTGTTGTGTATTTGAGTATTCATTCTCTCCTTTCATCTCCCCCCAGCTTTTCCTAGTATTGACTCTGTGTGCTGTATTCTGGGTAAGTGAGAATACTTTGTTTCTCTAAAAAGCAGTCTGGCTTGGTTAGTTTATTAATTGTATTACAGCTTTAACATACAGATTGGTTGTAGAGGAAAGATGAGCTTGTGTGTGTGGTATTTGCATTTTTAACTGCAATTGAGTTTAGGTGGAGTGATGAGTCTGTTGGCTACAAAGCAAATGCACCCTTCCACCTGTATGTGATGTAGATGAGAATACAGAATCTAGAGCATCAGGTTCAGTTTGCAGACCTCTAGTCTGAGAACTAAGAAAAGCAAGTTAAAATACACTTTTGTCGTAGTGATGTGTACTTATGTCAGAGAATATCAGAGAATATATAGTGGTCTTTAGAAACCATGGGCACAGAACGTTAAACTCATTAAGACAAAGGAAGAGAGACAGACCAAGTACCTTCAGGCATCTTGATTGAAAAACTGGCTGTAGTTATGTTCCATAAAAGTAAATATGTAGCTGAAGTGAACTTCCATGTTTAGAGAAGTACAGTATCGTGAACACAAGTGAAAGTGTTAGCATTGATGCTGTTACATGTTTTCAAAGCTAGAGAAGGTTTTCATAGTATGATGTTAACAGAGTGATGGATAAAACGAGTGGAAACTTGTCAGAGTGGGAAGGAGTAGCAAATTAAGTTAAGACAAGGAAATTCAGGCATCGTCAGTTAACTAAATTTTTGGCTGAACAGGGTGTTGCAATTGTTTACGGTATAGCCTGGTGCAAAATGAACTAACTTGCAGTATTTGCTTTATTTTTACTTAGTGGAACAAAAAGGGTTTGGCGGTGTTATTCTGCATATTGCAGTTCTTGGCAATGACCTGGTAAGATTCTTAAAATTAATTTCTTCTCCCTGTCCCTACACCCGTATGATTATAAACCTAAATATATACGCTTTGCATAACATGTGTGCCCAAATGCTAGCCTCAATCTGTTTTTCTAAGCTAGGTTGTATAACTTCAGCAAAATCTATATGCAGTCATCTTGCAAAGATGGTAATTTTAAGTGTATTCTGCAATGTGTGAACTTAATTGAGGCATTATGAAAGGAATTATATGCAAAAAAATTCTCACGCCTTTTCTCTGTTGTGAAAGTAACTGTATGCCCTGCTTTTGATTATCTCCCTCTTTTTTGAGTTCTAACTAAATTTTCATTTTTGAAATGGAAGAAACTAACATTTTCATAGGGTGTGTCCTTCCCCAAGAATATTGTGCAGCACTGGGGAAAGAGCAAGTGGATGCGAGAGGCTAAATTTAGTGCAGCAGGTACTAGGGTGACCATCCAGATGCGCTGAAAGGCCAGACTTGGGAATGTGTGAGCACAGTTAGGTGAATGCTTGCAAGCCTGGCAGAAGTCTTGGAAATGACTGCTTTCTCCATGGAGATACAACTGAACTGAACATACTTGGTCTCCTTGTCCCAGGTGAATTACTACTACCTCTTAGCTGATCCAAGGTGACCACAGTTCTTGTTTGAACTTGCCCTGAACACCCAGTGTCTGTACTGAACTTGGAGCTGAGGACAAATACCCATTTGTTCAGGATAGGGACTGTTGGGCATCGTGCCGGGCCCAGGTAAATGCTTGATGCTAGATAGAGGGAAGACCGCTAACTCAAACTATATTCTACGTGTTTACAGCAGACAGCTTTGCATTTGCTAAGTGTCCTAGGGCTTGATCAGGCTGGGCATGAGAATAAAACATAGCCTGGAGGCTTGTGTGAAACAAGTTTCAGAGGATAATAGAATTATCAGCTGTTGGAGCGTCACAGGTGTTGCGTGTTATTCATACTACAGCATATATCTGTGGGTTACATAAATAATGTGGTGAGATGGATATTTGTATAGTAATATATATTGTCTTTTAAACTGGAAAAAGTTCTCTGTCATCTTGAAGAATACAGTTTTCTCAGAAATCTCTATTCCTTTTCACTCTGATGTTAGTAAATCTGCTTTTTTTAAGTTTATGTGCAATAGAAATTATGAACTACATTAAAAAAACAAACAAAAAACAGAACCAAAAAAAAGGAAAAAGGAAACCAGGAAAATCTTGGCAGTACTTTTAGTTCTTGTCTAAGCGTGTCTTCTTTTCTCAGGTAAGCATTAAATTAAGTACGTAATATTGTTCAAAGTTTTGTTACAACAGGTTGCTTTTATTAACTATGGACTGAAGTGAAATAATTGGGTTCTAGGAGACATGAACACTCTCAAATATACTTTTTTCCTCTCTTTTTCAGGTATAGTCTGTCATATATTCCTTTTGCAAGGTGAGTTGGCATAATTATTTCCATCTTAACAAAAGTCAGTTATCTTTATGCTAGGCGGGGGGGGGTGGGGGGGTGGGTGGGCGGGGGAGTCCTTAAATTCAGTATGTGAAAAAACAATCTTTTCCCTTTCCTTTTAATTTTTAGAAAATGACATAGCTGAACTCAAAGTAATGCCTAATAAAAGTTTTAAATATAAGTAAAGTGCATAGTAATTCCCTTTGTTAAATTTCATTCTAGTTTTCATCACTGAAAATAAATTGACTTTGTTTAAATTCTCCAATGATTTAAAAATGCATTGATGCAACAGTGACTTTTCCAGTACTAAAATTAAAGAAAGTTAGAGATCTGAGGTTTCAGTTAAAAGCAAACAAATAAAAGCATAGATTCAGCTGCTAAGTCTATTTGTGAATTCCTCCAGTTTTTAGAAAAAGCAAAGGCAATGCTTCATGTAACTTTCATTTTTGCGAGCTTCTCTTGTCACTCTTGCGTGTATAAAAATTGAAGGAAAGCTAGCCAAACACAGTGAAACCACAAACTGAAGAATCTATTTTTTTCTATAATGTCTCATGTAAAATGCAGTTTTGTCTCTCACTAGTGTGTATTTTAAAAAAAATAAAGTGCTTCCATGTCTCTATATTACTTAATGAGGTTCTCTGTAGTGAAAGTGGGGGGGAGAAAAGAATACAAAGTATTGTCTATCCCTTTCCTCTGATATATTCCTGTAGTGTTTCTGTAACTTTGCCAAAAAATTTGTACCACGGATTTGTTTTTAAAGCTTCAGATTTGATCTAGGGAGGATTAAGTAATTTTTTTTTAAGGTAGTAGTTCATAATTACAATTAATTAAATGCTTTAAATGAACTCAGGCTTCAAATTGTCACTTTACTATTTCTGACATTTCAAGCTAACCCAATCAAAAGTAGTATTCTGAATTCTTACAGTTCCTGTGCCCACGTGACAGTCTCAGCAGGGTCATTCTTTTTTGCTCTGCACAGTAAACAAGTTGAGTTGCTGGTCACTGGTATTTTCTTCCCTACCAACAGTACTTTGAGTTCTGGTCAGAAAAACATTAGGTTATATGCATCACTTAATTTCTTTGGGTTTTTTTGTCTATTAGATTTTATGAGTCAGAGAACTGGATTTTACACAGGCTGCTTTTAGTAGTATGGTGATTTCTTTAGGGATTATTGAGTTATTTGCTCATGTGGAATGCTGTCATAAATTTCTTGTATAGGCTGCCTTTCTTACAGAAATAGTGATCTAAACCATCTTAAGTGCCAGTGAACATTGTTATGTAATTTGTTTAAAGTATGCATTCATCTTGATTTCAAAAAAATTGTCATTACTTGATTTATCTCTGTTAATGTTTTAACAACAATTTACTTGTTCATGGTTGGTTCTTCTTTTCAATTAATGGTGGCTCTCCTGCTGGCATGGCAGGAAAAAACCCAACACTAGACAAAAAACCAAACCTCAGAACAACAACAAAAAAAATACGTACAGTGACTTTAAAAGGGTCATAGTATTTTTCTTCACTTTTCAAATTGACTAGAGAATACAAATTCCACTCCTTGTTACGTTTTTGAGAGAATAAAAAATAAAAGGGACTATAGTGAGTGATGTAAGCATAGAATAGTCAGAAAACAGTTTGTTTATTGTCGGTTAAAGAAGTAGACCCCTTCAGCCCTTTCAAACCTTAAGGCTGAGCCAGCTCTTTATCCTGCACTGTTTGTACATGCACTTTAAACCCTTCAGCCTGGGTTTTTATTTCCTGCAATGTAATGTTGCCACTCAGATGTGGCTTGGCCTCAAAACACCTGAGCCTTGCTGATTGTCTGGCCCTGGCGTGCTCCTTAGCCCTGCCCTTGCTGGCCAGCCTTTGTGAAATAAGGCTTTGACCTTTGCTAAGCCACCAAGTGTGCTGTGGAACAATTTTTAACACTGTCTGCATTTTAGCATCCGCTTGAGTGTCAACAGTGTGGAATCCTTAGACACTGTGGGAAGAGCTGAGCTTCAGAGAGGGCTGAAGGCTTTGCTTTAGCTGGGCGCTGTAGATGTACTCAATGTAATGATGGCTGCATTTGATAAAATACTGATTTTTGTCTTTATGTAACATTTTTAATTTTAAGTATGTAATGGTTGATATGTATATAAAGAAAATAACAAATAACTGATTTTTTTTTTTTTTTAAAGGGATGCTGTGATTAAATGCTTTTCATCCTGTCTAGGGTAAATTAAACACAGGAACCACTGTATGCTTTACAAGCCAACTTTTATTCCTCTGTGAAGTTTGCTCAGAAAACTGTACTTTTCCACTCATGAAATACCCAGAAACAACTTAGTATTTCCCTTGCTTTTTGCATTTGGGGGATTAAATAATTTTTACTAGAAACAGTTTTAAAAATAAATTGGGTAAGCTGTTTGTGTTCACCCTCGAACTTTTAGGCTCTTTTTTTAACAAAAAAGTACATTTAAGTACTTTGTGCAGAGTAGTCTTAAAACTACCTTGCATCCAGCAACAGTTTATTCCCCAATGGAAGCAAGCCACTAAGATCTGGGTAGTATGCATAAAGATTTCATTTACAGTTCTCTCTAAAATTTGCAATGTGCCGTTTATGTTTGTATATTATTCATTGTATGCTTTTCCAAAGAAAGAGTTTTATAAACATTGTAAAGATTTGATAAGTTATAATTAACTTTTCCTTTGAAATTTCTATACTTGTGCCTTATGGAAAAAACTTGATAAGAATATGTGAAAGGTCTGTTGAAAGCTTGTTGGATTTTATTAAAAAGATGTATTTTAAATGATAATTTTTTTAATTTTCATACTTAAATACTTTTTTAGTAAAAGAACTTATGGCTAATGTATAAATCAGATTGTGAAATAAATTAGTTTTAAAGGTGCCTAAATATTTTTTTTTATTTAGGAATCTGCTAGAGGGTTGAAAATTTCAGCATTACACATGAATAAATAGAAAATATATTAAAAAGTGGGATATGTATATGACTATATGAAAACTTGAGTTTTAGATCTGCAGAAGTGACTTTAAAGCTTCTTTGTGTTAGTATTTAGAGAAACTGTTCATTCTGACTTAAGCTGATAACGGATAGAAGTAAAATACTCTAATAATTTGCCTAGCTTCAACCAGATGTTCTCATTTCTAGTTTTTTTTGCAACTAGAGCTATTTGTTATTCAGAAGCAAAGTTAAATCGATAATGTTTGATGGCTGATACTATATTACAGGAGGTTCTTTTTAGCACAGGACGAATGTGCTTGATTTACCTGCATTTTAAAGCCTAGTTGTTTTGGATTATTTTTTTTTTTGTTCTGCTAATCCACAGATAGAAGAAGGAACGGATTTGAAAAGATGTAAGCTGCGGTGTCAGGAAGGGGAAAACCCTGCCTCTTAGTATTCAGGGTTCAATGCTAAAGAGAGGAGTTGCAGTAGGTTCCTGTTAAATCTCAGCGTGTTGCACAAAATAGCAACATCTTTTGGGGAAGCTGTATAAAGGAAGATTGTATGATTTTGTAGCTAAACTACCAACCAAGCCACACCTTTTTAACTGATTAGCAACAGTGACTTGCCAGTGAGGCACCCTTCCTGGTGATGATGGGGGACAGGGTAGTCCTGACTGTGCAGCAAGCTCCTGGGCTTGGTTACACCACACGTGCTGCTTGGTGTAGTAACAGCCTCGCCAGCTCTGCCCATCACAGCCCTTGGGTGCTGGCGGACCCTTGAGTGAATTGGCAGTTCCTTTTAGTTTTCGGTTTGCGTTGAAGAGGTACTAGTATGTGCGTAGGTAGTGATGGATGTCATCCTGGAAGTGACTGTCACTGCCCTGTCCCAGTCGCTGCTACTGGCCATGACTGGCACTGGGGAGATCCCATCCCACCAGTTGGTGCTTCAGGACTGGGCAGTGGTTTGCTCCAGAGTTGGTTTTGCCGATCAACCACAAGTTCTGGTACATAATCACCTTTGCTGTAATCTTTAATTAGAATGGTATTAGTCATTCAGATTTTTTTTTTACTTTACGCACTGTGGTAAATAATAAAGTTAACACTTGGCAGTTAACACTTAGTATTAGATGACCAGAACAGAATGGGTTCAAGAACTGAAGTCCAAAAATTCTACAGTGGATATGCTTTTATATGCACTTAGGTCTGTGATATCATGGTATTTCTTATTTATTTTTTTTCTCTTGAATATTTAAGGATTCACTTTCTTCATTTGCATACAGAGCACACACACTATGTTCTTTCGTTGGGATCTTTGTTTGCTGTGTATGAATATCCCAAAAGTTTACAATTGGTGCATCCTCATTGTATGATACCCTTTCGTAACAGTCTGAAACCATAGATGTTGAGGTCTCTGTCCCTGTGGATTGCATACATCCTACCCATCTTTTGATAAAATTCTGCTACCCTAATTAAAATAGTACTTTGAAGAAAATCTATAGAAAGTATATGCCATGGCTTTTTAGACAAAATTTTTGAGTTGTATTAAATTGGGTTCATAGGAAAGATATGCTTAGTTATTACTACCACCCATCTCTGGTATTTTAAAAGTTAGGAAATGACTGCCTTCTGCTGCCTCAAAAAAAAAAAAAAAACAAAAAACAACC